GGAGTTAAAGCATGTACATGGATCTGGGAAGTTGTTGTTATTGCGAAGTCATGTCTGTCCCATAGCGCTCCCATGGACAATGTTCCTCCACGCCTTCCTGTCCTCTTCCATCCTCTGGAGTCCATTTAAGCTCACGCCTACTGCTTCAGTGACTCCATCCAGCCACCTCATTCTGTTGTCCCCTTCTTCTTTTGCCTACAGTCTTCCCCAGCATTAGGCTCTTCTCCAGTGAGTCCTTCCTTCTCATTAAGTGGTCAAAGTATTTGAGTTTCCTCTTCAGGATCTGGCCTTCTAAAGAGCAATCAGGGCTGATCTCCTCTAGGACTGACCGGTTTGATCGCCTTGCAGTCCAAGGGACTCACAGGAGTCTTCTCCAGCACCATAGTTCAAAGGTCTCAATTTTTTGGCGCTCAGCCTTTCTTATAGTCCAACTTTCACAGAATACATTGCAACTGGGAAAACCATAGCCTTGGCTGTACTCACTTTTGTTGGCAGGGTGATATCTCTGTTTTTTAGTATGCTGTCTAGATTTGCCATGTCTGGATGTCAGAATTTCTTAACCCCTGGCTATTGTGGCTGATCATAATTCAGCAAAATTTTGAGTGGAACAGATTCCTTGCTCCTGGCAAAACCACATTTAGATGCTAGTGCTTGAGCTTTTGAGGAATTTGCATAACTATGACTGAACTTGCTGATGTGAACAAGCAATACTTCCCTTCCACGACAGATATAATTTAATAGAAGCACAAATAATTGTTTACACAAAAGGAGGGAATGTAGCACAGCCTTCCCGAAACTTGATGCTTTCCAGATGTGAGAACTTCAATTTCCAGAATTCTACAGTTAGCACGGCTGTTGTTGAGAATTCCAAAAGTTGAAGTCTTTATAGCTGGAGGAAATACCATAAAATAATACAATGGCCCTTTCTATCTATATTCCACTCAGAATTATAAATTGTATTGCTACATGTGGCAGGAATTCCATACTACAAATTTCTTGTTCAATTAAAAAAAAAATGATCTGAGGATTTTGTAGTCCTAAGAAGATAGTCTGTATTAGTACTTTTTTACATAGTACTGCTGTTCTCATTATCTGGAAGTTGATATGGCTAGAATTTGAACATGGAAGCTTTCCAGAGTATTAATTCTACTTAGAATTTCACCTAACATGTTAGATGGCATATGATGTCTTTATGATTTTTTGCCCGATTTTTCCAATATATTTTTTTCCACAATCCAGCAGCATTCTGTCAATTCCAGAGTAAAACACCACAATGAAAACTATTGATTTTAGTTGCCAAAGACATAGAGGAGCAAAACATTAGAATGTGGCAAAGAAAGAGATTGTAGAACCATTAAAAGCATAATGATGGCACACCAAACAGTATAAAGGCTTTTTTAGCCTATCAACTCTATAGTTAATGAATAGTT